CCTAACTCCCCACCTACACTCACCTTTACTGGCCCCATCCCCGCCTCTTCGACCTGTTTGTTTCCTCTCCACCTATCCTCTCCTCCATCCATCTTCTATCCGCCTCCCACTCTCTCCCTATTTATTTCAGAACCCCCTTCCCCTCCCCCTTTTCTGATGAAGGGTCTAGGCCCGAAACGTCAGCCTCTCTGCTCCTATGATGCTGCTTGGCCTGCTGTGTTCATCCAGCCCTGCACCTTGTTGTCTCGGATTCTCCAGCATCTGCAGTTCCTACTATCTCCTGTTTGTAAGCCACTGGCACCAGGACTGGGGCATGCAGGGCTGTCTGCACCTGAACCGTGCTGGAGCCAGTGTTCTGGTAAACTGTATAACTGGGGAAGTAGACCAGGTTTAAACTAAATAGTGAGGCAAGGGATCAAATATCAAAATATGTAGTATTTAAAGAGTCAATTTAAGAAAGGAAAACAGTAATATGGAAAGTGAAGTTTACAGAATGGCAAGAAGGGAGAGAGAGGGAGAGACAGAGAAAAACCTAGGAATATACCAATAAACAAGACTAGATATTGTAAAGGTAACAAAGAACAAAACTAAAGTCTCTGTATCTGAATGTGCACAGCATCCATAAAAAAATAAACAAATTGCTGCCACACATTAAGTAAATAAATATGATCTGATAGCCAATACAGAGATTTGTCTACAGGATGACAAGGATTGGATCCCGAATATTGAGCGGTATATGACATTTGAATAAAGTAGGAAGCTAGGTAAAGGTGCGGGGATGGGGGTAACATTGTTAATCAAAGATGGCATTTGTGCAACAGTTAGAAATTAAATGGGTCAGGGATCAGGATGTACAATTGGTTTGGTTGGAGATGAGGAACAGTAGGGAAAAGAAGTCACTAGTGGGAGTGGTTCATAGGCCCATGAACACTAACCACAATGAGGGACAAAGCTTACAAAAAGAATGGGTGATTATAAGAGATAATAAAGAAATCGCAGATGACATTAACAAATACTTTGCTCATGCCTTCACTGTACAGGATACAAAAAGTATTCCAGCAAAAGCTATAACTCAGGATTTTGAAGGGAGAGAAGAACTTAATGAAATTATAATCATGAGAAAAGTGGTATGAGCAACCTGGAAGAATTGCGGTTGGCAAGTCTCTGGGTCCAGATGGACTTCACCGTAGAGTTTTCAAACAGGTAGCAGATGAGGCAGAAGATACTTTGGTATTAACTTTCCAAAATTCCCCATATTCAGGAAAATTCTCATTGGACCAACTAGTACAAAGGTATTTTCTATCTTTATCTTTTCAAAACCTCTTGTTCCTTTCAATATCTTTAACCATCTCTTTACCTTTTTGACTAAAGGAACCCTAGTTTTAATATCAATAAGTAAGATCTTCTCTTTGGGTGGATTTCCTTCCTAACTTGGAGCAGCTAATACTGAACCCAAGGTAGAGGTGGATAGATTCATGCGAGGCAGAAAAAGTAAGGGTTATCTGAAGTGGATGGGAAATTCTAACACAAACAGATCAGTCATAATCCTATTGAATGACAGAACAGATTTGAGGGGCTGAATGGTTCACGTCTGTTCCCTATTGCATGTTCATATCAGGTAAGAAAAGACGTATCCTTCACAAAAGGGCACCGGTGCACCAGGTGGGTTTTTACAATATTGCCATTCCTTTGTGGTCACTTTTCTCCTTCCTGCGTATCTGTTTTAAAACTGAATTAAAACTCTCTAACTGCCCCATGATCTGATTTTACATTCATCATCAACTATTAATTCTTACTTTATTAATCCAGACACAGGCCCGCACTCAACAAGAACTTGCTGCTAATATTTTAGATATTCCAGTATTTTGACAACTAGGAATAACTGTAGTTACAGTGATTTTTTTACAGTGTTATTTATAACATTAGAAACATATGACAGTCATTTTAAAAATTGCCAAGCCATTGCTGCAGCTGTTGTGAGGGCAGGGAGAGGAACATTAACCTGAGCCGAGTGATTGCTCCTTCAGGAATACTAGCTAGCGCCCAATCAACGTGAGGAACACTTACCGCGGAGCTGGTTAAAATTGGTCATAAATTCACCAGAGATGAATTTCAGTTCATTGTTTTCCAGTGAAATTAAGTGAATGTTTGCCACAACATTCTTCATGACTTTGAAGAGCGCAACTGGAAAACTGGTTAGTTTGCAGTTTGACAGATCTAGGAAAGCAAAAATAATTTTATATTGGCAAAGGGAAAACAAGGATTCAGCAAAATTTACAGCACAGAAGTAAACTATTGAGCCCCTGGTATCAGTGCTTTCTCTCTGACATGGTCCATCGTATCAGTGTGTCTCTCTGACAGGGTCCATCGTATCAGTGTGTCTCTCTGACAGGGTCCATCGTATCAGTGTGTCTCTCTGACAGGGTTCATTGCATCAGTGCTTTCTGACAGAATCCATTATATCAGTGCTGTCTCTCTCATTTTCTTCCCAATTCCTCCAACCTTTTCATTTTGTTCTTTTCCAGTTCAGTTTTAAAGGCTATTCTGGATTCTTATCCCTTCTGCTTCTAATCAGACTTTACACATCCTAATAATGTATACTGTATGTAAATTTCCTTTGTCTCTCTATTTGAGCTTTCATTGCAGATCTTAACATTCTTCTCTTGTCACTCATTCGCTAATGAGCAGAAAGATATTTTCTATCTTTATCTTTTCAAAACCTTTTTTCTCTTTGAATATCTTTTCATCTCTTCATCTTTTTGACAAAAAGAGCCCTAGTTTTAATATCAATAAGTAAAATCTTCTCAATGGGTGAACTTCCTTCTAATGACCTTAAAATTATTCCTAACTTGGAACAGCCAATACAGAACTCAATTACTCGAACATATTCTGTCAATGGTGATATAATTTTAACACTGCCTCTTCACTTTTATATTCTACTCCCATTTTTTAAACTTTGAATACAACATGCTGGATTACATTCCCACTTTTTGGAGGGTTTATCTGTAGCTTTTCTCTCTGCTGTTGTACTCTTCTTAGTTCTATCATTTGAGACCCTATTGTTTCACTTTCTTGGTCCTCCTGAAATAGAAAACGTCATTTTTCTGAGATAAATTTATTCGAGTATTACACTGCTTGAGGTCATGCAGAATCCTTTTCACAATTACAAATGCTCTCTATTTTTATGTTATCTTTGTACTTTGGCATGGAGGTCCCATGGCTACATTGACATTATTGATGTATTGCGAAAGGCAATGGTGCCAACTGATGTCCTCTTTAAAATGCCATTGTGGTCACATGCAGTATCTGACAAACAACAGGCCTTCCAGCACCTTCCACATTGTTATGTGGCGATGCATGTGACATTTCGGGACCATTAACAACTGTCCAGTCAAAAAGAAACCTATTGACCACTTCTCTCTGAACACCATCCTTTTACTTATTGTCTACCCTTGCTGTTTATTTTATCGTCAAACCTCTCAGTGCTTGCTGTTCAAACAACGTGGCATCACAATCGTAAGATTGTGCATTTAATCCCTGATTCAGTGATGTCTGCTATTTGATTTATATGATAATCAATGCATTGCAACTTTGTGTTTTGTTTCACTTTCCCTGGTATGGGCACAATGGGCCGAATGGCTCCCTTCTGGGCCGTATAAGTTTCTTTTTGGTACCTTATGAAGCCCCATTCTTGAAAACTCATTGGCTGAACATCCATATCCTTCACTAACACAGTCTAATCTCAAGGAATTTCATCAGATTTATTAGACCTGATTTAACCTTTACAAGTGCATGCTGCTTATATAGCCCATGTCCTTTTTGCTGAATATTACTTTGGTTTTGTTCATTCAAGTGATGTAGGTGTGGCTGGCAAGGCTGTCAACCTTTATTGCCTGCCCCTCTATGACAGCATTTAAAAACTCACTGACTGCTTATGTGGTCACCTGATCTATCTCTGACCATGATTAACATAATTGACAATGAGCGCCCTCAGGCACTCTGGCACGGTGTCCCTATCCAAGCAGGTTTGCTCCTTATGCTCGTTACCTTTGTTATTTTTCCTGTGTCATCCCTTGGTGCTCCTAGGTCAGGGCATTTTTAAAATTTAACTCCACCTGTTTTTCCCATGGCATTTTTTTGTCTATAATTAGAACTTGAAATTGTCACTTCCTGACTACAACAACGACTTGCATTCACTGAGCACCTGCACCACGTTAGACATGCGATATCAGGGCACATAAAGGATATTAAAGGAGCTGATCAAAAACTTAGTGAAAAAGAGTTTTTTTTAAAAGGAGGATCATAAAGGAGGACAGGGAGCTTAGAGAGGCAGAGAGGTTTAGGGAGGACATCAGAAAGCCAAGGCAACTGAGAAATATCGACTGTGGATGGACTGAAATTGGAGAGGCACAAGGTGGCAGATTTGAAAGAATACAGATATTCCAGAGTGTTGTCACACCAGAGGACATTACTGTGAGAAGTTAGAGGTAGGAAGCATAGAGACCATGGAAGCATTCACATGCATGGATAAGAATTTTAAATCAAAAAAGAAAATGCTCGAACTATTCAGCAAGACGAGCAGCACCTGTGGTATGAGGGAAACAAAATTAATATTTCAGGTCAATGATCTTTCATCTAAACTGGAGAATTCTAACGAAGTGGCATTTGTGACCCAGAAGCCAGTGTAGGTCAGCCAGTAACAGGGTTATGGGTGAAGGCACTGCTGTTAATTGGGGTGCATGCAGCAAAGTTTAAGATGAGCAGAAATTGATGTAAACATGTACACTTTCATTCCAAATATCCCACTCACTTACAATATCCGAGGGAAAGTCCTCATATCATATCTCTTTCATCATGGGGTAATTAAATTTTCTTTTTCTCATTGCTCATCCTCTTCAGAACAACCAGGATCTCATTTAATCCCCTTGAAGGGATTGCTTTCTTGCTGAATATCATGACTGTCATCCCCTACACTCACACGGCTGCTCTTTATATCTGACAACAGGACATTAGTATGTGTTTGCTGAAAATGGAACTGAGCCCTAGACCTGGCATATGGTGGTGGCAACTGAGAGCCATGGTTAATTTTACACTTTCTATTTTTGCTCTGTCCAAGCAGCAGGAGCAGTCTGGCTCACGGGAAAGGAAAATGGCAATAGCAGTGAGAAGGGATAACTTAACTGGAAATCCAACTGTAAGAAAACAGACTGCAAGACACAAACCAAACAGAAAATATAGGAAATATTAGGAACACAAATGATGGTTTTGGAATTAAACTTGAAAGCAATAAAACCATCCATGTATATTAAAACACGCAGAGAGTTTGGATTAAGCTCACATTCCAAATTGCATTCTGTCACTGCCACACCAATAAACACAGCTTTTTTGTTACCATAAAAGATGCATCCCATTCTGACTTTCCAGGCAGAGATAGACAGACCAGGAAAGGAAAGGGAGAAAGGATCAATTGGGCAAGAAACACCTCTGAGCTATTTCTGAGCAGCTTGAGTGTTGTCAAGATTGCTGTGTCAAACATTCTGCAACGAATACACAAGGGCTCTTCTGGCAGAGTGGCAATGACCCTGCCTCTAAGCCAGGAAGCCCAGGTTCAAGTCCTACCTGCTCCAAAGGTGTGCAGTGACATCTCTGAACAGGTTGATTGGAAAATATCTATGAATAGACTGAAATGAGCACACTTCTCTGTGACAGTCTCCCAGTAACACTGTAACCACGAGAACTGAACCCATCATTGTTCCTCCAAGGCGAAGATGGTTATGTTCATCAGAGGGTTCCCACTTCAAAAGGTAGTTGGCTGCTGAGACCCATCCATGTTCAAAAGGTTCTGCTTCAAAATAAGTCTGAATATTGCAGCAGCTCTGTATGGACTTGTTGGGCAGCTCAGCGGTTAGCACTGCTGCCTCACCACACCAGGGATCTGGGCTCAATTCCACCCTCGAGCAACTGTCTGTGAAGTTTGTGCATTCTCTGTGTGGGTTTCCTCTGGGTGCTGCAGTTTCCTCCCACAGTCTAAAGATGTGCAGGTTAGGTGGATTGGCCATGCTAAATAGCCCATAGTGTCCAGGGATGTGCAGGCTGGGTGGGTTAGCCTTGGGAAATGCAGGGTTACAGAGATAGGGTGGGTCTGAGTGGGATGCTCTTTAGACGGTCAGTGTGAACTTGATGGGCCAAAGGGCCTGCTTATATGATTGTATGATTCTATGACTTACTACCTCGGGATTTCCTCTCCCTGTGTTTCTCTGTTGTTGCTAAAAACTTGTTTTTGAAAGAGGCTGCAGGTTTTTTTATTTGGCAGGTAGAGTGAGCTGGGGTGAAATTTTCCCAGGACTCAAATCAGTACCAAAACTCCCAAGTGAAGCCTTCAGAGGGTACTTACAAAGCTGGCTTTGACCCCAGACAAGCTCTCCACAGAAGATTCACTTTGTGGACAGGAAGAGTTCTAATCACATGACCAACGCAACACCATTATAACTGTCCTAATATTAAGTGAAGCCTGGCACATCACCTCTGTGTCTGGTAATAGTGTCCTACTGCCTGATCTTCCAAAGTTTCTGAAGACAGCTCAAATCAAACTGGTTGTGTTTTTTCTAAGAAGTTATTACAGAACAGAAAGATATCAGTCAGCCCATCATGCCTGAACTGGCTCTCTGCAGGAGCAAATTACCTACTGTCACTCTCCTGTTTTCTCCTCCCTCCGCCATAACTCTGCATATTCCTTTTTTTTGGACAAAACAACTTCACCTTACGTGGCTTGTGCAAAATTTTGTTTGAGAATGGATCTACAGAGTCTTGGGAGGTTTAATGGCTGGAGAGACATCCAACATACTTCGTAGATCAATGATTAAACCAAAATGTGACAAGAGCACATTCAGTGAATAGTCTTTGATAGCTGGAGTACTAATGAAGGGTGTAAACCAGAAGTATTGACTTTCCTGCTCCTCTGATGCTGCCATACCTGCTGTATTCCTCCAGCTCCACACCGTATTGAATCTTTGGTAGGTCTCCACTGAGTACACTCTGATGCTGGGAAACAGTCGAAACAGAATAAACTGGGAGTTTCCACTATCAGTTTTCTGTTTGAGAAGCAGACTCCTGTTCTTTCCCAAACTGATTTCCAGACTCTATCGAAGGCCACATTTGCTTTGACAATTCTTGGCATATTTCTCATTGGACAGCATGGGACAGGATGCCGCTGAGCTCAGCAAATGTGAGCATTGCTGACAGGTTCTGCTCATAGACTGAAGCCTGGAGTTATAAGGCCCATACTGGGTGGAACGTGAATAAGGAACTCCAACTTCACCTGCTGTTATAATATCCAATATCCCAGCTCCCAAACTCCTCATTGCAATGATGTGTTAAGATTTTGCAAGCACGTCGTACTCTCAAATATCAAAAGTTTCACTGTGAATTTATTTTATTCAGTTACAGGATGTCAGCACCACTGGTAAAGCCAGTTTATTTCCCAATCCAAATTAGCCTCGAAAAAGGTGGTGAACTGCTTTCTTGAAAGCCTGCAATCTGAGCAGTATCCAATTTACTGCGGTGGTTTGATACAACTGATAACCCATTTCAGAGATCAATTCAGTGTCAATCTTCTGAAGAAGAATGACTGGACTCAAAAGTTCACTCAATTTCTCTCTTCACTGATGCTGCCAGACCTGAGTTTCTCCAGCGCTCTTTGTTTTTATTTAAGAATCAACTTGTGGGTCTGGAGTCACATATAGGCCAGACCAGTTAAGGGAGGCAGATTTCCTTCTCTCGACAGCATTAGTGAACCAGGTGGGTTTTTACAACAATTAATGATGGCTTCATGGTCAGCATTACTGAGCTTAGCTTTATTAACTAGAACTAAATTCCCTGATGCCATGGTGGGATTTGCACTCCTTTGTCCAGGCCTTTGTTATTATTAATCCACCGTGTGACCATATCAGATAGCGTACAATTAATGAAAGCTTGCTTTTGGAGTGCCTCACGCATCTTGTGGTAGGCACCAGACAATATGGTACAGTAACACTCTGATACCCACCATGTAGGTAATTAAACCCTCTCAGTGGTACCTGCCTGTCAGACTGAAGCTAGTTCCTGGCCCTGTGATGTCTGCTGCTGTGACAGGGAGTGTCCGCATTGCTCCAACCAAACCCAAGATTTCAGATCCTTGTTACTCACTGTTCTCCCACCATGCACAAAACTGAACCCTTCCAACTTGAGAATTAACAAGTTGTAAAAATGGAGCAGGGTTCAATCCCAGATCCCAAACAGAACATGAACAGACAGCCCCAGCACACATTCACTTTGAGGCCCCCAGTCCCTCCATGTGCCCGCTCAGCACTGCCCCCCTCCCAGCTGCCAGGGCACATCAGAAACTCACCTAAGGAGTTGCTGCCCTCCTCCACCGTCTCATTGACAATCCGAGCCACTCTCGCTGCATCTTTCGCCATTGCCTCCACAACACTCTAAAGGAGCAGAAAAACTAAAAGGTTTTAAAAAAAAGACCTTAAAAGAGGTTTACCAGAATGCTGCCTGGATTAGATGATATGAGTTATAAGGAGAGGCTAGAAAAACTCGGTTATTTTCTCTGGAGCAGCAGAGGCTGAGGGGAGACTTGATAAAAGTCTATAAAATAATGAGGTGAATAAATGGGATTGACAGTCAGAATCTTTTTCCCAGAGTTCAAATGTCTAATACAAGGGGGCATGCACTTAAGGGGAGAGGGGAAGTTCAAAGGAGATGTGAGGGGCAAGTTTTTTTTAAAACACAGAGAGTGGTAGGAGTCTGGAATACACTGCTAGGGATGGTGGTGGAGGCAGATACAATAGGGGCGTTTAAGGGACTTTTAGATAAGCACACCATAAGCACATGAATATGCGGAAATGGAGGGATATGGACCAAGGACAGGCAGAAGGGATTAGTTTAATTTGGCGTCATGGCAACATCGTAGGCCAAAGGGCCCATTGCTGTGCTGTACTGTTCCATGTTAAACAACCCAGAAACCGCTCAGTGAATCTCTGTTTGGAGCACAATTTGGGCATTTGTGTTCACAAATAATCTGTGTACCCCACCGTCATTGAAAGCACAGATGTAGTTAGATAGAGCAACGCAACTGCTTTCTGCTGTACTGATGCTTTAAGAGATTTCAAACAGCTTGTTATTTTGCTGGGATCCCACACCATCATATTCAGGTAGTCACATACACAAAGTCAGGGAGTTATTACTCTACAGAAGGACGCCAGTCGGCCCATCGGGTCCATATTGACTCTCCCGAGAACAATCCAGTCAATCCCAATCTCCTGCTCTATCCCCTGCAAGCTTAAGTCCCTCAAATGTCCATTCAATTTTCTATTGAATTCATTGATCATCTCCACTTCAATGCCCTGATAAGGCTTTAAAAAAATGCAGCAGTCCTTCAACAATCCTTGGTTTTCAAACCTATTCTTTTCTAATTTTAATCCACAATAAAAGTACAGAAAATTCATGACATGGTCTTTACAGTCCAATGAAGCAAGGCCTCTCAAGGCCTCACCTCAAAAGGTGCATAAAACATCCTGTAGGACTACTACAAAGAAAAGCAGACAAGTTAGCACCGATGACCCGCTCAATTTTGTAATCCCTCAACTAACATCACAAAAAGTTTTAGTATGAAGAACTGGACTCAAGATGTTAACTCTGTTTCTCTCTCCAGAGATGCTGCCAGACCCACTGAGCTTCTCCAGCACTCTGTGTTTGTTTCTGTTTTCCAACATCTGCAGTATTTTGCTTTTACTTGTTATCCGTCTCATTGCTATTTCTAGCAGTTTGCTGTGAACATATAGCCTGTTCTGTTCCCAATGTTACAACTGACCACACTTCAAAACTTAACACATTGGCTGCAAAATGCTTCAGAATGTCCTGAAGTCATGAAAGGTGCTACAGGAACGCACAATTTTCTTTTTCACTGATAATCAATTCCATTCTGAAACAAGGTTAAATCTGGACTTTCCCTGTGTCTAGTTTGTTATGAATGCAGGCACCATCACTGTCCATTACTCACACCATCTAAATGTCAAGTGACTCCCTCATAGTCACTGCCATTGCCTCACCCATCTCTCGTAATCAGGTAAATTGCACAGTCTGCTTGACTCACAAAACACTGGGCATCATGTTTACAGTGAAGCCAAATAGGTGGAAAAGGATGATTATTTTCGTCTGATCATAGATCATAGAATCCCTACAGTGCAGAAACAGGCCCTTCGACCCAACAAGTCCACACCGACTCTTAGGACATCCCACCCAGACCCATCCCCCTATAAGCCACTTATCTATACATCCCTGAACACGATGGGTAATTTAGCACGGCCAATCCACCTAGCCTGCACATCTTTGGACTGTGGGAGGAAACCGGAGCACCCAGAGGAAACCCACGCAGACATGGGGAGAATATGCAAACTTCACACAGACAGTCACCCGAGGGTGGAATCAAACCCAGGTTTGGCGCTGTGAGGCAGCATTGCTAACTACTGAGCCGCCATGCCACCCTGTCATGGGATGTGCATGTCATTAGTGAGGCCAGCATTTGTTGACCATCCCTAATTGACCTTGAACCGAGTGGCTTTCCAGGCTATTTCAGAGGGCAATTTTGAGTCATTCATATTACTGTGGGTCTGGAGTCACATGCAGGGCAGATCGGGGTAAGGACAGGTAGTCCTCTTAAAGGCATGAGTGAACCAGATGGGTTTTTACAAGAATTGACCCAGTCACCATTAGACTTGCTTTTAATTCCAAATGTTTGTTGAATTTCACCCATTTTAACCATGTACCACGGTGGGATTTGAATGCATGTCTCAAGAATATGAGCCTGGGTCTCTGGTTTACTAGTTCAGTGACCAAGAAGGCCATACAAAACACAGATCCACTTCCAGCTGTCCATCCAAACAGCCCACAGAAACGGTCTCATTTGAAATATAGAAACTAGGGACTGGAGTAGGTCACTCAGCCCCTTGAGCCTGTTCCACCATTTAATATGATCAAGGCTCATCCTCTATCTCAATGCCAAATTCCCACTTTCTCCCCATACCCCTTGTTGTCCTTAAGATCTAAACATTTAACAATCTCTTTTTTGAATATATTCAATTAATTGGCCTCCACAGTCTTCTGTGGTAGAGAATTCCTCAGATTCACTACCCTCTGAATAAAGAGAGTTTTCCTCGTCTTAATCCTAAACAATCTACTTGCCACTTGCTTCAAAATCAACATAATGCACTGCACGACTGTATGAGCCAGACTCTGTTAGATTCTGCACTTACCAGTTAATGGTCTAAATGAAATGAGTGGCTGGACTGTTAAACCAGTGAAACGTATTGTGCAGAGTAGCCTGTCAGACTGAAATGATGTGATACTGTGTTACATAGCTAATGTTTCTCAGCAACAAGTCCATGGCTCACTGGGCGAACTTGCTGAGCCTGTCAAATCAGCTTCCAGTGACGTGGGGCTCACATCGCCAAACAGAATGTACAGAGCTCATTAAGACTCCCGCAGTGACTGTATAACCCTCGATCAACAGCTCACAGCTGTTTGGGGAACAATAACACGTATGTCTGCTCCACTGTCTGCAGTTTCACCTCCAAGCCTCGACCCACAGGCTGTGGATCAGTCCATGTCATGGCTGCAGTACAGAGCGACCAATGGAGATGGTGGCCTTGCAAGGAAGACTTGCATTTATATAGCACCTTGTACATCCACCAAGCATTTTTTTTCCTTTATTCATTCAGGATATGGGCATCGCTGGTTAGGCCAGCATTTATTGCCCAGAGGGCAGTTAAGAGTCAACCACATTGCTGTGGGTCTGGAGTCACATGTAGGTCAGATCAGATAGGATGACAGTTTCCTTCCTTAAAGGACATTAGTAAACCAGGTGGGTTTTTCTGACAATCAACAATAGTCATCATTAGACTCTTAATTCCAGATTTTAATTGAATTCAAATTCCACCATCTGCCCTGGCAGGACTTGAACGTGTCCCAGAACATTTCCAGAGTCTCTGGATTAACAGTCTCACAACAATCATACTAGGCCATCACCTTCTCTTCATGGGCCAATTAAGTATTTTTAAAGGTAGACAACAGGAGGCTAGAAGAACACAGCAAGCCTGGAGGAAAGGAGAAGTCAACATTTCAGGTATTACCCTTCTTCAGGACTGGATGTGGGGGTAGGAGGAGCTGCAGATAAAGTGGCGGTGTGGGGGGAGAAGGGGTGGAGTGGAATGGTGGTGACAGGTAGACACTGGTAGTCCATAGGACCTGGTTGGTCAATGAGAGGGATGAATCCAGTTGATGGCTGGAAGTGAGGGTCAGAAGGTGGAATGGAAGGGAGGAGGTCAGGCTGGAAAGGGAGCTGGGGGATGGGTGGGAAGGTTATTTGAAATTGGAGGTCAATGTTGAGTCTCCCAGGCTGTAGGGTGCCCAAGCGGAAGATGAGATGTTGTTCTTCAAATTTGCGTTCTGAGTCGCTGCAACACTGGAGGAGGCCAAGGACGGACATGTCAGAGAGGGAGTGGGGTGGGGAGTTGAAATGGGCAGTGACTGGGAGGTTAGGTTGGCCGTTACAGGCCAGATGAAGATGCTCGGCGAAACAGTCACCTAGTCTACGTTTGGTCTCACCGACGTAGTGAAGACCACATCGGGAGCACCAGATGCAATAGGCTAGGTTGGAGGAGATGCAGGTGAAGCTCTGTCTCAATTGAAAGGACTGTTTAGGGCCCCAGATGGAGGTGAGGGAGGTGGTGTGTGGGCAGGTGTTGCATCTTTTACAGTTACAGGGGAAGGTACCAGACGGGTTGGAGTGGTTGGTAGGGAGTGTGGTGCGAATTGAGGAGTGGCAAAGGGAATGGTCCTTGTGGAAGGCAGAGAAGGGTGGGGGGTGGAAGATGTTCCGGGTGGTGGGGTCTAATTGGAATTGGCAGAAGTGTTTGAGGATGATACATTGGATGCAGAGGCTGGTGGGGTAGAAAGTGATGACAAGGGGGACCCTACTTTTCTTATGTTTGGAGGTAGGGGTGGTTAAGAGCTGTGTAGTGGAAATGGAGCAGGTGCGATGGAGGGCTCTCTGGATGACAGGGGAGCGAAAAGAGCATTATTTGAAAGAGACAGACATCCAGGATGCTTGGGAGTGGAATGTCTCCAGACTGTTGAGATGCAGGAACTGCAGCTACCAATTTGTGCACAGCAAGCTCCCACAAACAACAATGTATTACCAACCAATTATCAGTTTCTGTGATGTTGTTTCAAGGATTAAAATATCAGCCAGGAGACTCTTTCCATTCTCAAATACTGCCATGGAATCTCTTGCATCTACCCAACAAAGGTACAAGAAACCGACATCAAACATCTTATCTGAGAGAAGGCACCTCCAACAATGGAGAATTCCCTCACTGCTGATCCTCTGACAATCCGGCACTCCCTCCATACTGAACATCCGATGGTGCATCACTACCTCGGTAC